TGCTACAGAATAACAGCAAAACAGCGCGGCTGAAGCTAGACAAAGATACCAAGGAGATACACACCGTCAAGTGGATGGGGATCCTACTCGACAGCAAGCTGAGCATGAATCAAGAGGTAGAAGCAAGGATCGAAAAGGCCAAGAAAGCCGCTAAAGACTACACCGAAACGGTCAAGAACATCCCGCCCTCTATGATTAATGTCGCAGTCAAGATACGGGGAGCATGCGCGATTATACTACCACACCTAGTCTACCTATGGAGGGAAATCCCTTTCACACCGGCCCAGAGATCTACCCTAACCGACGTCGCCACACAACTACTCGCTAAAGTATTTAGTAACACTAGCGGGGTGACTGCCACCTCTATACAACGACATGTAAGCGAATTGACCAAAGGACTAACACCCAGGTACAAGGAAATAGCAGCTCTCGACTACCTGATGCCAAAGCCGCTGGTAAGAGACATAACTAAGAACACAGAGGAACAGCAAGAAGAGACAAAAGGAACCGACATCTTGTATGCCCGCTCCGACCAAAGAATAGAGACCCTCCCGGACAAGGGCCCTGCCAGGCAAAAGACTCGAATACCCAAGCTGCAGATACCAAACGGAGACGTAGAAACCAATTTCTTCAGCCCAAGAGAGGAGCCACACTATGAAGAAACCAGAGAGGTCTTCACCACGGCACTCGAAACCTCACCACCTACGCCAGGCTTCGGTCAGGACAAACACCACCCCAATGCCGAAACGATGACACTGCGCCTGAACACTATTCGTGATGTCGAGACTACACAATTGACATGCCCATACTGTGGCGTGACAAAAACCACTAAACAAGCGACTAGAGCACATTATACAACTGCCCATCCTGGAATGTATAGACCACCACCGGACGACCCCTGCTACTGTGCAGCATGTAGAAGGGTCATGACCAAGACATACTTCCGGGACCACCGTTGCAGAAAACCACCGAAGAATGAATTTGACTCTATAGAATGCCCAGGGTGTCAAAACCACTACCAAAACCCCGAGCTATCTACACATATGATTCACTGTATCCGACTAGAGGGAACTCTGACCCCCTCCAAACCCAACACTGGCGCCTTTGAATTCGCTAAGAAACTACGAGACCTACTGAAACCAACAACCACAAAGAAAGCAGCTTCCCCAACCCAAATAACTGCCCCTGACCAGACTATTGCACAGGCAAGGCAAGGCCTTCGACCGCACACACCAAGGAAAATGGAACAGAGTAACAAGGGTTTGAAACAACTGCCGACGGAAGCCAACAATAACCCAGCGACCACCATTAAAGAGCTAGTGAAGAAAATGAGGACTGATACCGAGGAAGCTATAAGAACTGAGCAATCAACCTGCAGACAATGCAACAAAGAGCTGAAATCTAACCAGGCACTGAGGCGGCACGAAGCCCTATATCATCCAGGGACTGCCAGACCTAAGGGACTGCCGGCCCGTTGTATCGGATGTAACACTACCTTCAAGACCGCCACCACCTATGTCAAGCACAAATGCTCTGGAACCATGGAGCAGGAGCTTGCCGCGAAACACTGCCCAGAATGTAAGGAAGCAGAACTCTGTAATCCAGACTACTCAGTGCATCTACTCAGACATGAGATTATTCACGACGAAGCACTAGACGATGCCACTCTAGCCCAAGACCAGAAAATATTTGATCCATAATGGCCATCAAGTACAAGATCGACACCAAGACACTACTTTTCAGGAAGAGAGTTATTGCGCACGTGGCAACCAACTTAAAGGTATGCCTGCATTGCGAGACGATACAACCCGATCCACACCTAATGAAACGCCACTACCAAAGATACCACTCCGGCGAATATCAACTACCCAGATCCCAGCCAATCTACTGCTCAGGATGCCGACGACTACTACCGGCACACCACTACAGAGTTCATAGATGTACAGCCACCCTAGATGATGAACAAAGACCGGGGACGTGTAAAGGCTGCGAGGAGATTTTGACCAACCCGCAGCTCTCGATACACATAATTAAATGTACACACCCGACCGACGAAGACCTCAGTCCATACAGGATTGGAAAGCACGACTACGATGGTGTTAGAAGCATGGAGCAACACATTTCATCGGAGGAGGATACTACACCCCCACCGAATATGAATGTCAGAGAACGCACACTACACGCTGTCAAAGAAAGACTCACGATGTGCACCGAATGCAACATCAAATTCACTACAACACAGGCTAAGAGAAGGCACGATAGCGGCACACACCACAGGATAACACCCATTAAGGGCAATCCTACATGGTGTGCAGGATGCCATAGGAACTTCTCAGGATCAAGCGCATACACTAGACACTTCTGCCCGAAGACCGAGAAAGAGACAGACCCTGATACGTGCAGCTTTTGCAACGAGCTTCTGTCCAACCCAGAACTATCCCTACACCGCCTCCGACACTATGAGCAACAAGATCAAGATCGACCAACTGCTCAAAGATAGGAAACAACTTTTTACCACCATAAACGCCTGCCCCGGCCATACGGGAGTATAGCAAGCAAGCGTGCAATGCTAGAAGCAAACAGACTTTTCAACAACAAAACGATCTAAATACAAAGCCAGGAGATGGTAAACACACCAACGACCCACCTGACCACCGATCGGAACCAATACCGAAAGGTGCTACCATGTCGGTGGAGGGTAGTGAAGACCCGCAAACGGTCTCAGGTGCCGGACAAGGGGAGTGGCACTCCCCGGCCAATGCGGAGGAACAGAGTCAACTCAAGCCTGCAAGGAAACGAGGCCTTGCTCATGTCCAGCCACTCACCATGACGGAGATTGGCATTACGTTGATTGACCTACAGAGCGAGATATATGCCCTTAGAAAAGAGCAGAGAAACGAGAAAGCCAGGAGACAGCAACAGATTGACCGCAATGAGGCCATGTTCAAAGATCTTGTTGATGCCTACATGGGGATGGCTACAACGGTAAAAGAACTCAAGACGGAAGTCACCAGCAAGATACAGCACGATA